GACGGCAGTGTTACCGGTGGGGTCTTCTTGGCAACCCTTGCAAATTTCTTCGCCTAGTTTGCGAAGACCCAGACGGCAGTGTTACCGGTGGGGTCTTCTTGGCAACCCTTGCAAATTTCTTCGCCTAGTTTGCGAAGACCCAGACGGCGGTGTTACCGGTGGGGTCTTCTTGGCAACCTTTGCAAATTTCTTTGCTGTTTGCGCAGACCCAAGCGGTAGTGTTACCGGCGGGGTTCTTTTGGTTATCCTCGCAGAAATATGTATAAAAAATAACAAGAATTCTAATATTGAAGTGCAGAAACATAAAAAGCATTCAAAAGCCGGCTCAGCCGGTGAAAATGTTTATATTCAAAATAAAAATTATTACAGCTTAGCCCATCTCATGCGGCGCTATTACAAGATAATGCTAGGCACGCAGGCCGGGAAGTAGTTGCTACTCCAGGCGAACAGTGAGCCGGTCCTATTCCGGTTGGTTCTGGGTTGGATCAGGGTGAGCGGCTGCGTCGGCTTCAGGAACGACTTCTTCCTCTTCAGCAGCCTCCGCCTGCCGTCGCGCAATCTCCTCCCTAACCCAAGCGTCATAGGGTCCGGGCCCCGGCTCATTCGCCTCCTCGGCCAGAATGGCAAGATCAGAATATTTGAAGGCGAGTTCCCAGACGGTGAAGTCCGCCTCCGGGTGGATGAGGGAAAACGCCCGTTGCATCCGGTTTGCACAGTCATGCTCATTCTCTTCAATGAGCCTCTCCTGCTCCGACTCCAAGGTGGCCTTGAAGTTCTCATTGGCAGCAGCCGCCTCTTTGCGCAGGCGCTCATTCTCTTTGGCAAGGCGGCCATTTTCAGTCTCCGCCTTGCTCAGCCGTTGGAGGGGCTCTGTCTGTTCCTCCAACTTTTTATTGGCATCATCCAGGGACGCCTGCAGTTGGTCAACTTGGTTTTTCAGCTGATCAATCTGCTGTTGGAGGGCTTTGGTCTTCTCCGCCTGTTCCATGCGTATAGATTTAGATTCTAAGCCATGCATGTACAAAGAGTAGTCAGCAACATTATGGGCGTCATCAACAGCCCGTTTGCTTCTTCTTACCTCCTCAGACTTGCGGGTATAAGCTCGTTTGAGCCCCTCTACGCGCAGCATAGCCTGCAAAAATACAGCCGGTTAATACTGCATATTTAAAAATGCACGTCAAGAAAATTACCGCATGGTTATTGGAGCATACGTCGGCCAGGTCGACCAGCACCCGGTCGGCATTAAAGGAGTTGATCCCAGGGATCGCCTCCTTCTCGTCCCTGGGGACGGCTTTCAGCATGGCCCGGGCATATTGTGCCCCGTCCGGCCAACGGGAGAATTATCTGCACCAGAAACAGACGGTGAGAAACTCGCATATGCTCTGCCTATAGATTGCCGGCTGATTGGAGAATCCCCCGGCTGCGATCGAGACTGTGAATAAGACTTGACCCGCATGGGCAGATCAAACAGTGTAAGGTCGAAGTTACCTTGGCGGCCCGAACGGCCTTCAGAGGGACCGGTTGCGGTCCTCAATGGGATGGCAGAAAGCACATCCGCAGATCCAGGCCCGTCTGGGACCCTTATTGATTTGCCGCCGGTAGTTTGCCGGTCGGCTGTCTTCTGCACCTTGGATGCAGACTCTTGTTGGGTCGGCGGAGGCCTGACCTGTTTTTGAAGGGACCGGGGCATCTGCTTCCCGTCCTGTAAACGAGAAAAATATAAGTTATGGGATAAAAGGATTGAAATAAACGAGAAGGATCAGACGGTTATACCTTCTTCGCCGCCTGGGCAGCAAGTTTTTTCTCGAGATTGGCTTTCCGGATGTCGGCAGCCGACCTAGCCGGTGTCTTCTCAGTGGGCAGCATTTTCTTGGCTTCTTCTGCAGAGGAAGGCACACGGTTAGTATAATAAATAAGCAAGGAAATAAAAGCATCCGGTACAAAAGAAACCGGCTGAGTTCCGAATACATACGTTTTTTAAACATGCTGCTTAGGCCACAAGCGGACAAGAAGCATTCGTCCCTAAAAAATTCATGTTTGGGCACCCAGTTTCTAGGTACCCTTACTATCTCTCCGGATGAGAGGGTGTCAGGAACTAACTCAAAAAACCCGGAGTCAAGGATGGTCTCTCTATCATCCTCCGGGACAGGGGGCAGGCAGCACTTGGTCCCCAAGAGTTCTGGTTTCCGGTTGTAGATCCGGAATTCTCTGTTCTCTGCCGTAGTTGGGGCCTTAACCAAGTAGAACCGGTGCTTCCAGTCCGACCATTTGGATGGCTTGTCCAAGGTCATAAGGTATTTGGGCTGGGTGGTCAAGGTATACCAGGCTCTCCAGCCGCCTGGGCTCCTACTCAAGTAATGCATGTGGGCAAACGCCTCCCAGCCGGGGTTGAGGCCCTGCATCTCGCAGGCGGCGATATACCCTAAAATATTTACCCATGAGTTGGGGGTTAATTGCCAGAGACCTAGGCCATACCCCCTAAGTATGGCTTTTATTGTGTCGTGGAGAGGGAAGCGGACTCCGGCCACGAAGGCCGCCTCGTAGCACCCAAACCAAGCGTTCGCGTTCGGTTGTCCATCCTCCCACCATATTGTTCCCAGAGCAGCCGAGACTTTTATTGTATAGTCACCCCCTAGCGGCCGCCGTTTGATAAAATCTGGCAGCGCAGCCCGCATGAGCTCGCGGTCCTTGGAGGAGACGGCGATCATGAGAGGATCGTTCCTATTATCCCAAGAAGGCCTCTCCGCCTCCTCGCTATCCTCAGATTCGGTTAAGTAGCTGCTACTGCTACTTTGAACGTGACCGGCATCAGAGCCGGCTGGGGAGTTGGAGACCTCCTTATCAGAGCCTACCTGCTCTCTGGTCTCCTGGAGGGGAGCACTCTCTTCGTTTAAAATGCTATCACCCGGGGTGCTAGGAGCGCCCCCGGGTGAGCCTCTCTGCTCTACCTCTCCATGCTCTACTTCACCGCCTGAAGCTGGGACCTCAGGCTGCTGCTCATCTGAGCTCCCACTTCTGTAGTTGGGATCTCTGGCAGTAGACCGGATTCTGGCCATTGTGTCCTGCACAGACACAGAGTCGGTCGATATGGGTGTTGAAAAAGGGTTGTCCCAAAGAACAGAGGCGGCAGACCCAGTTCTAGACTCAGCCGTACTAATAAACCGGCTGAGTTCACAGCTAGGTTCCGGGTATGGGTATAAGGGGTCCATCTACTTATGGGACCAATGAACAAAAATGCGAGTAAAAGACTCAAACGGAAATACATGAAAAAGCTAGAAAGAATAGAGACGGTACCTAGAAGAAAATCTGGAAATTCTCTGGGATGCTTGCGAAGACGCAGGCGGTTCAAAATCCGGCTGGGTTTCTCTGATTACCCTCTCGAAAACCTTTGGCTAGCTTGCAACGACCCAGACGGTCTGTAGACCGGTTGCTCTCAACGAATCTCAACTCCGAATGCTCTCAACTCTCAAATTGCCGGTTGTTCTCAAATCTTCAGAAATTTGGCAAAGTTTGTAAATGAGAGCTCGGGGGACATCTTCTCCTATTTATAGAATTTGTCCCAGAAGGTGAAAAGTCGTGACTCTTCGCCTTCTGCTTTTCCATCCTTCAAAAGGAATCTGAAGAGTTGAAAAAAAAAATTGAAAAAAAAAAAAACCTTTCACCGGCGCCACGTGGCACCCTGCCACGTCAGCACCAGTGAGGGGCAAATGTTTGGGGTAAAAATACCCTAAACACGTGGCCCAATGGCCTAGTGACACGTGGCATCCAGCCGTTGGTCAGCAGGGCTCCAATCCTCTGCTGACACGTGTCCTCTAAACCCTAAAAGGGGAACCATCCCTTCCCCACTATAAATAGTGGAAGGACCCTCATTAATGGGGGTTGGAACATTTGTGGTTCACATTGAATACTCCTCAAAAAGAAAAACACTTACCCCGAGCAATATTAATTGCAGAATTCTCCCATTACGCGAGAAGTAACTTCTACATTACGTGCATTCTACCTCCCATATCTTTACTAACTTGATCGTCGGAGGCGGAGCTCCTACCCCCAGGAGTCTTCGTGATTTTGCAGGCACAGGCGTCGAAGGGCATTCTTGGAATTGTAACTCTCCCGCAGGACACATCAAAAAACCCCGAAACAATTTTGATTCTCGATTGGTCGTTAGCCAGTACCAAGGTGAGTATAAAGCCACCCATCAGGCAGTCAAAGATGAAGCTGGGACACTTGAAGAGTTTTATCTAAGTCAAGTGCCCAAATCTGAGAATGACCAGGCGGATGCCTTGTCCAAGTTAGCATCTTCCGCCTGCTGTGATACACCTCAGTCAGTCTTCAAGGAAGTTCTAGAACAAAGAAGTATATATATGAGGAACCCATTGAAGTACTGGACCGAAGCTCAATCTTGTTTGGATGGCATCCGAGTATAAGGAGGGTATTCCCATCGTAGGGGATCCTTCTCATGGCCCCTTAAAAGCCTAGGACTTTACACTTGCTAGGTCGTATTATGATTTGAATTCCTGACTATTTGGGGGACCTTGAATTAGAATTGATTCTATAATTACGCTTTTTTTGTAACAAACAAGTAGAAGTCGCCAGTGAGTTTTAGGAAAAATCATAAACCTCGTTCATGCCTTTCTCCCAAGTGGATTTCATGGGATAATTAGCACGAATCATAAGTTTACCCATGCCCAAATTGGTCTACATAAACAAGAAATGAGTTCGAGAGCGAGGGTACTAAGATAACACTAGTGGAAAAAATCTCATTTGTAACAAGCTATTTGTAACGGGCAAAGCTTTGCCCGATACAATTAAGATATTCGTAACGGGCAAAATAGTGTCCGTTACGAATACTTATTTATTCGTAACGGGCACTAATATGTCCGTTACGAATACATATGTATTCGTAATGGACACTATTTTGCCCGTTACGAATAAATAAGTATTCGTAACGGACACTATTTTGTCCGTTACGACTACTATATTACACATAAGAGGCCCAACTGATGAGAGGAGCCCGTACTTGGCTTTTTAGGGTTTCACCTAATAGCCATCACCCTCTTTCTCTCTCATCAGTCCCTCTCTCTCTCCTCCCCTCTCCTCCCCTCTCCTCCCCATCATTCACCAGCTTCTTTCTCCTCTCCTCCGTCAATCTGAGTTTTCAAAACACTTGTGCTCTTTCTCTCCTCCTCCGTCCTCCTACTCCTTGTTCCTCCTGCTCTTATAGAGAAATTATGGTTGATGGGTATGTGAAAAAGTGTTCGAACATTTTATTACGGGCGGGGCACAATGCGAAGAAAAAGAAATCAGTGTTAATTTGTTGTTCCTCTTATAGTGAATTCTAGATATTGGATCAAGATAGCGGCGAATTGTCAAAAACTACTGAAGAACAATTCTTATAATTTGGGATATCTTTGCCTAAAACTTCAACCATTTTAGATCTTGAGGTAAGAAGTCCTTGAATTGTTTTTTCCTCTTCTTGAATTGATTTCTGGGCATCTAATTGTTTAAATTCTTGAATTTGTTCTTGTGAATTCTAATTTGCTTTATTTTTTTCAACATGTAATTTGTATTTGATTCATTTTTGGCATTTGTATGGTTTGATTATGCTTTGTATGTTTACACGAATAATAAATCAAAAAATATATATTCTTCAATAGAAACGAGTAATACATGCAATCAGTAATGAATTTTGTTCATCTTTGTCGATTAATACCTGATTGCCGAATTTTTTTTGTTTATAGAGAGAACTAAGAAACCCGATATGGCATGTTGATTAATTCTAGTGTTCTTCGAGTTTTGTTAAGCGTATGACTTGCATTTTTCAATCCTTGCACTGATCTGAATCACTAGTTTCTGATTTTATTTATTTTTTATTTTTTTTAAAAGAACTTTAGAGGCTGCCTTCAATTTGGATTTGGGTATGTGTCAAATTTGTACTACTATTTTCATCTCTAGGTATTGATGAATAAAAGGCTGATTTTATGTGAATTATGTCTATTCCTTGTAGCAGTTAATGATCGCTTGTCAATTTAATCACTAGTAGATTTATTTTTTGTAGTTGATAAAAGCTAAGGAAATGTTACTATATATGTTAGTCCCTGAACAGATGGTAGTAGATAATTTGTTAAGCTATTGCAATGTTAGTCATTCTATATATGATCCTATCCATGCATTTCTATATTTTATCAAGAACAGATAATATGTTAAGCTATTGCAATGTTTGTCATTCTATCTATGATCCTATTGCAATGTTAGTCATTCTATCTATGATATGGTCAGGCTATTACAGATAATATTTGACGGATATTGCGATATGGCAGTGAGACAGGTTGCTAGTATTCATTTCAAGAACTTTATTGCCAAGAATTGGTCGCCTCGATCATGATCTTAGTTCGTTTCCTTTCGTGTAGTGGTACGGTTAAGACTTTGACTTTAATTGTCGTATCTTGGTCATTCGATATTGATTCGATATTGATATTGTATGCTTGGTTATATTTTTATTTTTAATTTCAGAGGAGCAATCAAAGATCTCACCGGCTGATAAAGCCTTGGTAAGAGAAAATATCCTTGTGTTTGTGGTTCAAGTTCCACCGCTTTTGAGGTATGGCTATTTGTTGTGCTATTGTTATCTATGTGAGCTATCATATCCAAATTTCAATTTTGAAGGGCGTTTGATGTTTATTGTGGTTGCCATTTGTAGGGTGTAGTTTGGCGAGTGCCTCAAAACAATTATCCATGTTGATTACCCTGAGCAGTGGCCTGGCCATTGGGTGAAGCATAATTTGCAAGATCAACAGGTCTATGGTGCTCTGTTTGTTTTGCGGATTCTCGCTAGAAAATATGAGTAAGTACATGATTGCTGATTATGTATGGTATATTGCGGTATCATCACAAAAAAATAAAGCAAATCATATGTTGTTTTATTCTTTTGGGTTTTCTCTGATTCTAGTTGCTCCTCATCAAGTAAGTGGAGTTGCTTACCTAATTCTCTATTGGCTAGTACAGTCAAAAGTCAAATTAGATAATATGCTAGCTTGACAGTGTATTCATGTTCAACAAGCACTATATTTGATTTTACAAAAAGTTTACATGTTTCTTGATTAATGCTTAATACAAAAAAAAAAGTTCTCTAGTGTTTTTGCATAGGCAGACTGATAAATTTTAGCAGTCATTTGCCCCATTTTTTTCCTTATTGTGCTTGCTTTATGAGCTCCAAATGGTATGTAATTTTTACCATGATTCTTCTTCTTCCAATTCCGAATGACGATAAATCTGCTCCTTCTTTGAAGTCTAAGAATTATCGTCTTTTTGGTAGAGATAAGCCTGTTCATAAGGTCCTTGGTGGTGGTTAACGTATGTTTCTTCTGTTTTCGATTTTTATTTATTTTTTTTACTGCATGTTGTTTGTATCTTCTAAATTTGCTTGTTTTCCGTACAAATTATGCGAAATTGATGATTGTTTTTAGCTTGATTGTTGTTGATTAATGGAGAATAGGAGTAATTTTGATTGTAATTATTGAATGTTTTGTTTGTATGCTTAATTGTTTAGACTGAAGTTTGGGATTTAATCATATTTGGACATAGATCTAATAATTTATGATATGATTACTTAACATTTTTCTGCAAATCTACAATTCTTTGTTATTTTAGCTTTTTATAATTTACTTGGGACACCCTCAAGTGGTAATACCTGATAACTCTAATTTACTTTGTCTTCTGACCTCCCTTTTTTTAGTTCTTTGTGTTTTGTTCGTCTTGTTTGTGGTGCTGGTTCATTTTTAATTTTCTGTATCATTTGTTTGATGTATCTTGGGACTAGTCAATATCGGTCTTCGTGTGGTTTGGATTCTCATTTTATTTTATTTAAGGACAATCCAACAAAATTATATTTTTTTGTTGTTTATTTGCTTGTTCTTTGACTGTATTTTTGGAATATCCTTTTTTTTTTTTTTAATATTCTGTTATTGATTTTAATCTACCTAATCTCATTGTTTTTCTGCTCAGAACCATTCATAGTTGATATGTTATCTCTATTTATTTTTTCAAGTCTTTCAAGATGCAGTTATGCATTTATTTTTTCTCATTGCTTGCTATGCTTTCTTGTTTTGTAATGTTGCAGATGCAGCAGATTTGTTGCAGCAGCTATCTCTGGAATCTCATACCAAATCTCTTTGGTTCTCGCAATGTTATCCGAGTAGAGTGTTCGTTCTATCTTTTTCAAGTGGTAGTTGTTCGTGGCTTTGCAGATGGAGTCCATGTCCGAGGGCTCATTCATTACTTTTGTATGCACTTCACCAAAGCTTCACCACACTATACAAATTCTAAAGCCAATCGCTTACCTAATCAGTTGCTTCAGGGAATCTGAGAGTAGCTTCTGGAATGTAGTGTGTTCATTTGTGAGCAGCTGCTTTGTTTTGAGATTTGCTTTTGCTTTGTTTTTAGTTTTAGTTATATTAAGAAATAATTAAATTGCTGATTGTATATTACTCTGTAATTATTAAGTGTATACTATACTTGTATAAAATAAATAAATATATATATTGACTGATAAAATAATTGTGTAAGCTAGCTAGCTGTCCAACATGTGCTGGATTTTTTTTTTAATTGAATCTCACAGTATTCGTAACGGGCAGAATCTGCCTGTTACCTATAACCCCGTTATTCGTAACGGGCAACTGAAATGCCCGTTACGAATAAGTACTTATTCGTAACGGGCATTTCAGTTGCCCGTTACGAATAAGTACTTATTAGTAACGGACGGTGCCCGTTACGAATAACAATGGCCATCCGTAATGGCCACATACGTAACGGACGCTGCCTGTTACGGATGGGCTCTTTTTGCCCGTTACGGATGACCTTTTTTCCACTAATGTAACGTTCCCTTTAGAGGGGAATTGTTATCCTAGCCCTAGTGCGGCCTCTACTAGCTCTTCCTTTTTCTTAATTTCATCACCAAACAATATATACAACGTGATACCTAAAACTAAGGTAGTTGATTTTATTTACACACATCAATCACGTAGGAATTACATTGCAAAGTTGTAATTCTTTATTTAATTCAAATTCGTGAAAAGAACAAAAATAAACAAGATTCGCCTTGGCTTAAGTGATCAACCAACAATTAATTATTCAATTCTATTCTTATTTAACGCTAGATACTATGTGGAATTGATTAATTAAAGATCCGTTTAAAATGATCAAGCCACACTAATTAATTGATTAAAGTTGTTTTAAACAAGAAAATAAATATGATTGATCTAAGTGCTCGGGATTTTACCACTTCTCTTTGCTAGATCTTCGTTTACAACACTTATGGACTCCTTGTTCGGGAACCTCCACCGTGGTAACGAGTATAAAGGGGGTGAGTGTTTAGGACAAGAGGGTTTGGTAGCACGCAACTGATTGTCTTGCGCGCGGCTAACAGGGTAAAGTCGTATCACCTAATCAAAAGTATTACCTAAGTCCTCTAACTAAAGTTGATAGGGAAGTAGGGTCGAATCCACAAGGAAATTGGTCTTTCTATTCCTAATTAATCAATTATAATCTAAGTTATTAAAGTAACCAATTTGTTGTTGTTAAAGAAATTATACTACGAAGAATAAGTTTAGGGAGAAAAACAATAATAAGAAGGCCTAGGGTCACAGGTTCACCAATAATTAATATTCCGCGATTAAACATAATAATTAATAATTAACATTGCACAAATAACATGATTAACATGCTCTTGCAATTTATTAATCAACATAGATCTAACAGGCTCTCGCAATTTACTAGATCTAAGTTCCTATTAAAAATAGCCTTTAATATTAAATTAACATCTGCTCGATTCATCAATTCAATATTGCTAAACATTCACAATCAAATTACATCTGCTCGATTCATAATCTAATTGCAAAGAATTAAAACAATTCAATAAGAAATTATCATGCAATACCAATAATCAATAATAACAAATTATCCCTTCATATTGATTATGGATCCCCATAAACCCTAGAAATAAAACTACTCACACATAATAGAAACTAAACTAATCAAAGCAATAAAGCAAGACATAATTAAAGGAATAAAATAAACAACTAAGATTAAGAGAAGAGAAATAGTTACCATACAAATATGGAATTAAGAATGGATTAAGAACAAAAGTATTTGAGAGAGAAAATCTAAGAAAACCATTAAGAGGGTAAAGAAAGAATAATCAGAGAGAGAGATCCTAAAATCGTATTATGGAGGAGTATTTATACTCCGTACAAATCCTAAACTAAAACAAACTAAAATGACACTAATCGCCTCCTAATAATTACACGCGCCCGATCGGGAGCGCCTTTTTGCTCTTCAGGTCGAAACTCGCGCCCGGCCGGGCGCGTCACCGGGCGCCGACCTTAGCTTCTCCCGCCCGGCTGGGCGCACCTCCGAGCGCCAGCCTCTTTGGCCGGGCGGCTCTCTTGGGCCACTATTTGGACTACAATTGGGCTCCAATTCTTCGGGCCAATCTAAGTTTCCTCTTCCTGTCTTGAATACTCGGTCCAAATGCCCCGGTATCACCTATACCGAGATCTTAATCACCGGTTCAATGGCTCTAACCGGCCCTGGGTTATAAAATCTGGTCGTGCTTCTCCAGTGCTCGTGATTGCTCCAAAATATCTCAGGAAAATACTCCAAAAGAGTATTTCCCTGCAAAAGTCAACCAAATCTACGAAAACACTAGAAAACACCAATTTGTAATAAAAGTGGCTCTAAAGAGCCAAAAACACTACTAATTATAACCAAGGGACGGGGGTAAAATACTATATAAAATAGACACATCAAACTCCCCCAAGCCAAACCTTTGCTTGTCCCTAAGCAAAGATCTCATCAATGAATCAATAAATATGCTTCACCCCAAAAGTAAAAATCAAGCACAAACGATTCAGGGTAAATCAAATAAACATGCTTCGAAATCAACCAATCAAATCCATCTAATTATCAATCTTTCCTAACATTTGTCAAATAGAGCAAACTACAAGAGCATATAGAATTCAAGACTAGTGCTCACACACTCAACTCTCATTTATGTGGCGAGTAAAAGATGTACTCGATCGCTCTCCAACCAACCCCTTTATGCGAACAATGCCCTCCCAACTCAGACTCTCGTGTGTATAAAACAATGAACGCTCAACCTACTAGTCAACTCGAAATACGTCAAATCATAACTTGCATTGATAAACAACACTTTCACATTCATACAATTCTATGCACAAAGGTCGGAAGGTCTTTAAAGCTTGTAATGTAAGGCTAGGGTAAAGGGTAGGAATCATTTGGGAACAAGAGAGAGAAAAGCTATGCTTAAGGGAGAAAATCCTAATAAAGCCTATGATCAAAATAAATAATGATCAACATCTCCTACATAACCAACTCCAACAAAAATCCACCAAATATACTCCAAACAATATAAACAATCCCAACTCTTACAATTTCACTCATAGAAATATAATAATGAAGAACTGGAATGAATAAACAAACTTTATTTCCAAACTTGAAATTTTCAATGAAGCTCTATTTTTTTTCTTTTGTCAACCTCCAACTAGAACAGTTGAACACTTTTTTTTTTTCTTTTGAAGTTCACTTATTTTTTTTTCACTTTTTTTTTCTTTGAACTTCTATTTTTTCATAACATCATGCTTTATTTTTTTTGAAGAAAATATAACTTTCAAACTCACCAAAAATAAACATGATCAAGAACAAAATAACTTCTCAAAACCCACCCAAATTGTGCAAATAATAAGCACACTACAAACTCCCTCACCTCACTCACTAATAGCTCCCCTAAGCCAAGCTTGGGACTAGTAACCAATGGGAAAAAATAGGCTTGTAATGTGGCTAATAAACAACAGAAAGGCAAGGCAACAACATGGGTAGCAAGAAGGAAACAAATGTATCTACAATCATCTGGAGGCTACCTAAAAGAATAAATGCCTTCGTCCTCCGCAATGTGCATAATAATGAATCATACAAACATTACTTATAGTTGCAAACCAATACTAAAATTCATTGACATACCAGGAACTAACACACATTCCTAATCAAATCAACTAGTCAAGCACTATATTCACAAGTAGTTGGGCAAAATTGACGCATGTTAAGGTTTCAAGGCAATCAAACATCAAATCATGATCAACTAGTCCACAATGCTTATCATCAAATACCAAGAATCAAAACAATTTTCTCAAGTAAGGGGCACAGGGAAGCATGATTTACAATTTATTGGAACATATTTTTGGATTTTTTTTTTTTTGTTTTTCAATTTTTTTTTATTTTTTGTATTTTTCATATATAAGAAAGCAATAAAACTAACCTAGAAAGCAATAAATCTAACCTAAGAAAACACACAAAAAATAAAAGAAAAGAGAAAAAAAAAAATATCAAATCCGAAATCTCCCCTAAGCCAGAATCAAACAATGTCCGGATTGGCTCGGGAACTAGCCCAACATAGCTAGTCCTGATCATCCTTCTCCATTGAGCCGAAACCCGCACCTCCACTGCCACCTGCACCAGAAGAGCTACCACAAAAATAATCAGCATGAAAACTCCCCCTCGCCGGTCCCCCGAAAGGAATGTCCTGGCCGTACCCATGGAAGGAAGAATAGTCAGTGTAAATACCATGGGCAGTGGGATCCCCATCGTATCCCTGGGGTGGAGGATGAAACTAGTCAGGGTGAATAGCATCGTCGGGAATGTTGCCCTGACAAGCATAATCATCGTACATAGGGTAGAGAGCTCTACCATGGTTCCTCTCTAGGTACCCTAACCTATGGTCTATGGAGCCTACCATCCTCCTAAGGTCAGTATGGGAATGCTCGATACGTCCTAAAGCCTGACCTATACTCTGAAGGTCCCAAACTGGGTCAGAGTCAACATGAGGGACAGAGTGAGACATGCGAGGTGGAGAGAAAGCCACCTCGGGCTGAGGCTGAGGCTGAGGTGGTGGAACTGGTGGTGGTGGTGCCTGCTCCCTAGCGTTGGCAACTAAAACATCATATGTGTAGGATGGTTGCCCTGGGGGAAAGGAGGTCAAGTCAGGACTGGGTAGGGGAAAGATGGGCAAAGGTTGCTCGCTCCCATTCCTAATACACCAGTAGGGTGTCTGCTCGCTATCCGGACGTACCCACCCCAACTCCTCAAAATACCTAGCAGTCATATAGGTATCTGGTCCACAGTTGGTCAGTTGGTGGGGTCCATCCATTACAAAACCGGCCTTTTTCACTGCTATTTGAGTGATAAGGCCTACTAAATGAATGGGGGTGCGAGATGTGGTGCTGGCCGTGGCATGCCTGCTCAGATGGTGAATAATAAACCTACCTATGTTCAATTTCCCGTACCCATACACATAGTGTCCCCCGACAACGGCGCCAAATTTTGACAGGGTAAAGTCGTATCACCTAATCAAAAGTATTACCTAAGTCCTCTTACTAAAGTAGATAGGGAAGTAGGGTAGAATCCACAGGGAAACTAGTCTTTCTATTCCTAATTAATAAATTATAATCTAAGTTATTAAAGTAACCAATT